TGTGTGTGTGTGTGTCTGTGTGTGCGTGTGTTTGTGTGTGTGTGTGTGTGTGTGTGTGTGTGTGTGTGTGTGTGTGTGTGTTAGAGAGAAAGAGTTAGAGAGAGAGTGTTTTTTTATGTGTGCTAGAGTGTTGTGTTAATTTTCAAAAACACACTTACCTGCTCCACCATAGCATCTGTGACATCAACAGCCTGGGCGCCGGGGTAGGGCTCCAGCATATCGTATATGTTTTCCCAGGACTGTGACCACATGTCACCTGCAGCGAGAAATAGACACCGTGTTACTGTAAAGATGTGTGCGCATGTGATCTTAAAGGTGGCATATGTACTTCAAAATGTGGGTGAACTTAAGGGTAGGGGTCTTTTCATGTAGGACGTACTTATATGTGGGGTTTAATTAAATGGCGAGTGAACTTAAAGGTGGTATGTACTTCAAAATGCTGATGAACATGATGGTAGGGGTACGTTAAGGTGAGGTTGTTAGTTATACGCGGGGTGTACTTTAAGATGGGGTGGACTTATATGTAGGGTATAATTAAATGTTGGGTGTACTTAAAAGTGGTGTGTACTTCAAAATGTGGGTGAACATAAGGGTAGGGGTACTTTAATGTAGGACGTACTTATACGTGGGTGTGTAATTAAATGATGAGTGAACACAAGGGTAGGCGTACTTCTGGGTGGAGTGTTAGTTATCTGTGAAATGTAATTAAATGAGGTTGAATGTACCTACATGTTCCGGGATTCTTAAAGGTGAAATGTGGGGTGTGCTTATACGGGGAGTGGAGCTTTACACAAGGGTGGAGCTGTACTTATAGTTGGGGTGCACTTAAAGGTGGAGTGTAGAGGTCGTAAGTACATAAAGATCCCTAACCGATCTCTAATCTAAGACGATGCTGCCTCATCATATTTCCAGACTTATTTTAATCAAACAGTTGTCTAAATCCTGATTCTAAATCCGAGTGTAACCCTAACCTTAATCCTAGCCATATCTACAAACCTCAACATTAACTCTAATCTTAACCTTAATGCTAATCCTAATCATAATCATAATCCTAACCATAACTTTAACCGTATCCCTACCCCACCCAAATTTTAGCCCTAACCCTAACCCTACCCTACCCCAACCTTAGCCCTAACCCTAACCCTACCCCACCCAACCTTAGCACAAACCCTAACCCTACCCCACTCCAACTTTAGCCCTAACCATAACCCTACCTCACCTCAACTTTAGCCATAACCCTAACCCTACCCTACTCCAACTTTAGCCCTAACCCTAACCCTACCCCGCCCAAACCCTAATCCAAACCCTAACCCTACCCCACCCCAACTTTAGCCCTAACCCTAACCCACCCCAACTTTAGCCCTAACCCTAATCCTAACCCTAACCCTAACCTAAACCCTAACCCTAACTCTAACCCTATCCCACCCCAACTTTAGCCCTAACCCTACCCCACCCACCCAAACCCTAACCCTACCCCACCCCAACTTTAGCCCTAACCTTAACCCTACCCCGCCCAAACATTAGCCCAACCCCTAACCCTAACCCAGCCCAACCTTAGCCCAAACCCTAACCCTACCCCACCCCAACTTTAGCCCTAACCCTAATCCTAACCCTAACCCTAACCTTAGCCCTAACCCTAACCCTACCCCACCCAACCTTAGCACAAACCCTAACCCTACCCCACCCCAACTTTAGCCCTAACCCTAACCCTACCCCACCCACCCAAACCCTAACCCTACCCCACCCCAACTTTAGCCCTAACCCTATCCCCACCCACCCAAACCCTAACTCTAACCTTACCCCACCCCAACTCTTACAGCTACTACCGGTTATAACAACACACTTAACTGCGCCATCTACCGGGCGTGGACACATACCTAGTAGGTGGGCGGGGATGGGTCCCTTAATCGCGACTTTGTCGGTGCCGTACCATAGACCTAGCTTGTGCCTGACGTAAGCATGCAGCTGATCGTACATAGGTTTCACCTGCAGATGAGTGAAGAAGAACACATGCGACTGCTGTTAGCTAAGGGGAGGCAGAGAGAGCGAGGGAGAGAGAGAGAGAGAGAGAGATAGTGAGGGTGAAGAGAAGGGGCAAGCGAGAGAGAAAGAATTCTAAATTCTATTTTTTTCTTTTAAATTTAGGAAGAGCCGGCTATGTACCCCCTAGAGGATATGACATTGACGATGTACGTACCAAATCGGGTATACTAATATATATATATATATATATATATATATATATATATATATATATATATATATATACGTACATACCTGCTCCATGAGAGCTGCAATGTCCTCGCGGAACGTATCTGACTCATACGCGCTCCTCCAATAATCACCGGTGTCACTAAATCCTGAAATGACGCAGCGGGCAGAGTTCCATGAAGCTCATGTCAATGGTCTTTTCGGATAGAGAATAAAGAAGGAAGAGGAGAAGGAGGAGGAAGAGGAGGAGGAGGGGAGAGTAGGAAGGGGAAGAGGAAGGATGATGATGATGATGATGCGAATGATGGGGGATGAGGAAAGGGAGGAGAATGAGGGGAGGAGGGAGGAGGATGGAGGAGGAGGGAGGAGGATGGAGGAGGAGGGAGGAGAAAGGAGGAGGGAGGAGGAGAGAGGAGGATGAGGGAGAAGGAGTAGGAAGGGGGAGGAGTAAGGATGATGATGATGAGAATGATGGGGGATGAGGAAAATGAAGAGAATGAGGAGAAGAGGGAGGAGGAGGAAGGAGGAGGATAGAGGAGGGAGGATGAAGAGGAGGAAGGAAGAGGGAGGAGGAGGAGGAAGGAGTATGGAGGAGGAAATAGGATGAAGAAGAGAAAGGATGAGGGGGAGGATGGAAGAGAAGGGAGGAGAAGGGAGGAGGGAGGAGGAGAGAGGAGGATGAAGGAGGAGGAGTAGGAAAGGAGAGGAGTAAGGATGATGATGAGAATGATGGGGGATGAGGAAAAGGAGGAGAATGAGGAAAGGAGAGAGGAGGAAGAGGAGGAGGAGGGAGAGAGGATGAAGAGGAGGAAGAAAGAGGGAGGAGGAGGAGGGAGGAGGATGGAGGAGGATGGAGGATGAAGAGGAGGGAGGAGAAGGGAGGAGGAGAAGAGAGGAGGATGGAGGAAGAGAGAGGAGCAAAGAGCAGGAGGAGGGAGGAGTGGAAGGGAGGAGAAAGAAAGAGCAGGAGGAGGGAGGAGGGAGGCGGAGGAGGGAGCACCCACCATTCTCCACAGAAGCTTTATTGCTGAGTGCTACGAAGTCGATATAGTCGTTCCTCATGGGTGGGCCCACGTTGTCGTGCCACGCCTGCCAGTAATGTAGCAACTCATTGTAGTTGCGTGACTTCGCCAACACGTCGGTGATATCTGAAATCCATGCATAATAAAAAAAATATTATACATAAAACACCAAAATAGAACTTTATATTACTGAAATATGTCCTTGGATAGCAGAGATGTTTTGGGACATCATGGAAATTTGCAATTATGCGGCCATTTTGGATTTATGCAAATTATGCAAATTTACGTGGGAGGATTACGTTTAGGACTTTTAGTATGTTGTTCTGGAGACTTCACAATAATTTCTGTTGCTTTTTTGCACGCTTAAATGCTAGATTTCTTGGACGAATGGCTAACAACACGTTATAGTAAACACGCATGTTTGCGTATTATAGAGGCTTGTATTATAACACTGTTGGTATGGGGGGAGGTCATGTATCAGCACGTCGTATGTAGTACGTAGTATTGTATTATTGTAGTCCGTAGTATTGTATTATTGTAGTGCGTAGTATTGTATTATTGTAGTCCGTAGTATTGTATTATTGTAGTGCGTAGTATTGTATTATTGTAGTCCGTAGTATTGTATTATTGTAGTGCTTAGTATTGTATGATTGTAGTGCGTATTAGTGAATTATTGTAGTGCGTATAGTATTGTATTATGTACAAACTAATGTTATATAATAATGTAATGTGTTAATTAATGTACAAACTATTCCTCAATAATTGTATTATTGTAGTACGTAGTATTGTAATATTGTAGTGTGTAGTATGGTATCACACGCGAACGGCAAAGAATTATGTCTGTGTTGTAGTTCAATAAGGGTTCATCCCTCAGATATATGTACATTGTGCGGCAATCCGGATCGTGTAGCTGCATGTGTGCTATATCGTGTGTGCCGGATTCATCTGCAAGCGCAGGCGCGGCAGTGACTACGTGTACCGCAGGCAGCGTTGGGTTATCCTTGTGTCTGTATAGGAGATGTGCTGTTGTGTGCGATTCTGAGGCGTAGGTCGCTGAGAGATCAGGAGCTGCTACAACGCCAACACTTACTTTGTCATTACGAGGGAGGTACGGAATGGCTTCTTCAAGATCATCAGGTTCCTGACTAAGAGGCGGGTACTCCCTACGCGAGAGCGTGTCAGCATTCTAATTCTTGACTCTTGGGCGATACAGAATCTTGAAATCGTACTGCTGTAAGCGGAGAGACCAGCGAGCCAAGCGGCCATGATCATGTTTGGTCTTTATGAACCAAACCAGTGCAAGATCATCGGTGAAGACTCTGAACCGAGCATGCGACAGATAAACATGATACTCCTTGCACGCCTCCAAGACACTTAGGCATTCCTGTTATGTTACTGACCAGCGCCGCTCTGCTGGAGAGAGAGAGACCTGCCACCGTAGGCTACGCCTCGCGACCTTTTGCGTCTGTCTGCCCAAGGACATAGGCATCCGATGAAATGAAGAATGGGCGTGTAAAGTCGGGAAAAGCTAGGATCGGCGCAGAGATAAGCTTATCTTTAAGCGCTTGAAAAGCCGCCTGACACGACTCATCCCAACAGAACTTAACATCTTTCTTTAAAAAAAGCGAAAAGTGGTGCTGCTAGCTGACTAAAACCCAACACGAATTTCCTGTAAACATTGCAAACCACTATGAAGCTACGCAGTTCTTTGATGTTTCTGGGCAATGGAATAGATCATCTTTAGTGAATATGTGACCTGTAACAACCACGTGTTACAGGGTGCTCCCCCCCCTCACGCGCGACGCGCGCGCGTCGACGGAGGCATCGCAGAGGCATGCAGAGCATGTTACGGCGCCACCCCCTAGCAACACCTAGCAACGCGCCCGCAATCAATACGGCTCCTATGCGATTGCTCAGCGGCGTTTGCCCTAGCAACCACGACGATCAATGCAGCTGCGGCCAGGCGGGCGGGCCTCCAAGATGGCGGCCGCCCACGCCGTCCACACGCTACCGGGCCGCAATATGTCGCCACCTGTCACGCACCGCACGCCAGCTGGTTGGTATTAGTACCATCTTCCCCAATTAAGCGGCGTGTACGTGGACAATCATGTGCAAGTCATTAGCGGTGTCGGTCTAGCATGTGGACAGGCCCGGTGACGAGCCTGCGGCTAATTCGGAGCGACTTTAGGGCCGCTCAGCGCGTAGGCTGGATTACATGCGCTAAATGCAGCGTGAAAAAGGCTGTTAGCGCATGGGGCAGCGGCCATTTTGACTGCTCGTGGACCGCGTTGCGTGGATAGGCGGAGCCACCTCCTGGACGGTGCCGTGCAGAAATAGCGGGTTGCTCCCGTTAGCTCCCGTTGGGCGCCACGTCCAGTGCGAGGTCAGGGTGAAGCCAAGCGAACGCGGATGCGCGGGGCACGGTGGTTGGTGGGACATGGCACGTGGTTGCCATGTCCCACGTGCGAGGGGGGCGCCTATAAAAACAGCTGCACGGGCAGAAATCGGGGAATCCGCTCCCTACCTCAGACGCGACCGCCAGAGCAATTTGTATGTCAATCGTGAACGAAATTAAAGAAGCTTCAGTCATGGTATTTATTCTCTGACTTGCCTTTATCTGTCTATGTCTTTTGGCTACACATACGACATCATTATCTACAACTGTATCGTAGTGACAAACCAGTTGCTACATATTTTGATACCGTGCAGTGGTCGAATCTGAGTTATTGTCGACATTCCCGCGTTGCTACTTGCCGCTATTACGATCACGTGCCGTTATCGCAAATAGCATCGCGTTACCATCACTCTACCTTCATCAACCGCCGTAGCCGACGACTTCATAGCCACGCCGTACCGTGGCCGGGTATGTAATGTCTAGCCATAGCCGGAAACTAAGTTAATATATAAGCTCAGTTATATTCTAATTCAGTTAGTTACTACCGTATTTTCTAGCTACATAGCTTTTCACTAATCGTCTCTATATCACTGGTTCTCATTCATTGCTTCAATATCAAGTATCTCTGCGTACGTGTATGCATGTACTGCGCGACCAACAGCTGGCATTGCTAATTGCTAGTTGCTGTTAATCCGTTCTACTATTCATTGACCTCTAGTGTGTGTGCGCCCTAGGCGTGTGTGTGAGTGTATACACCAGCGTCAGCGTGTGTGTGCGTGCGTTAACGCGTCTGGTTGTATACACCTGCAACGCGTGTTCGCAACGAGTGTGCGTGTGTGAATACACGCCTGCCTGTGTACGCCTGTGTGTATGTGTGAGCGCGAATACGCCTGACTGTGCGTGTGAACGCCTGAGTGTGCGTGCGAAGCGTGCCTGTGTGTGCGTGTGTGTGTATACACCTGCAACGCCCGTGCGTGCCTATCTACGCCTGTGCGTCTGTGCGTGTATACGCCTGTGTGTGTGTGCGTGTATACGCCTGTGATTGCCTGTGTGCGTGCGTGTCGAGCGCCTGTATACGCCTGTGCGTGTGTGCGTGTATACGCCTGTGATTGCCTGTGTGCGTGCGTGTCGAGCGCCTGCATACGCCTGAGCGTGTGTGCGTGTATACGCCTGTGATTGCCTGTGTGCGTGCGTGTCGAGCGCCTGTATACGCCTGTGCGTGTGTGCGTGTATACGCCTGTGTGTGTGCGCGTGTATGCGCCCGTGTGTGCCTGCATACGCTTGTGTGTGCGTGTATACCTGCATACGCCTGTGCGTGCGTGTACGCCTGCATACGCCTGTATACGCCTGTGTGTGCGTGTCAAAGCGCCTGTGAGCGCGTGTGGAGCGCTCGTATACGCCGTGCGTGTGCGTGCCAAGCGCCCTGTGAGCGCGGGTGGAGCGCTCGTATACGCCCGTGCGTGTGCGCGTGAAGCGCCTTTCTGTGCGCGTGTGGAGCGCCTGTATACGCCTGTGTGTGCGTGTCGAGCGCCTGTGTGCGCGTGTCAAGCGCCTGTGTGCGCGTGTCAAGCGCCTGTGTGCGTGTCAGCGCGTGAATACGCAGCAACGCGCGTGCGTGCGTTCGTGACGCGTGTGCGTAACGCGTGTGCGTGTGCGCAACGTGTGTGCGTGCGTGCGTCCGTTTCGTGACGCTGTGGCGTAACGCGTCGTGCGTGTGCGCAAACGTGTGTGCGTGCGTGCGTGCGTGCGTGCGTTCTGTGACGCGTGTGCGTAACGCGTGTGCGTGTTCGCAACGCGTGTGGGCGTAACGCGTGTGCGTGCGCGTGGTGTGTGTGCGTAGCGCGTCGTGCGTGTTCGCAACGCGTGTGCGTAACGCGTGTGCGTGCGCAACGCGTGTTCGCAACGCGTGTTGGCGTAACGCGTGTGCGTGTGCGCAACGTGTGTGCGTGCGTGCGTGCGTTCGTGACGCGTGTGCGTAACGCGTGTGCGTGTGCGCAACGTGTGTGCCGTGCCGTGCGTGCGTTCGCGACGCCGTGTGCGTAACGCGTGTGCGTGTGCGCAAGCGTGTTGTGCGTGCGTGCGTCCGTTCGTGACGCGTGTGCGTAACGCGTCGTGCGTAACGCGTTGTGCGTGCGCGTGGTGTGTGGGCGTAGCGCGTGTGCGTGTTCGCAACGGCGTGTGCGTAACGCGTGTGCGTGCGCAACGCGTGTTCGGTAACGCGTGTGCGCGTGCGTAACGCGTGTGCGTGTTCGCAACGCGTGTTCGTAGCGGCGTGTGCGTGTGCACACGCGTGGTGGCGTTGACGCGTGTGCGTGTTCGCTAACGCGTGCTTCGTGACGCGTGTGCGTGCGCAACGTGTGTGCGTAACGCGTGTGCGTGTGCGCTAGCGCGTGTGCGTGTTCGCAACGCGTGTCGTAGCGCGTGCGAGTGTCGCAACGCGTGTTCGCAATCGCGTGTTCGTAACGCGTGTGCGTGCGCGTGTGCGTGTGCGTAACGCGTGTGCGTGTTCGCAACGCGTGTTCGTAGCGCGTGCGCGTGTTCGCAACGCGTGTTCGCAACGCGTGTTCGTAACGCGTGTGCGGGTGCGTAACGCGTGTGCGTGCGCAACGTGTGTGCGTAGCACGTGTGCGTGTGCGTAACGCGTGTGCGCGTGTGCGTGCGTGCGTGCTAGCGTGCGTGTGCGTGCGTGTGTGTGTGTGAGTACCTGCTTTCGTAACGCGTGTGCGCGTGCAGGTGTGTGTCTGTCGGGGACAGCTTAACCCCGCTTGTGTCTGTCGGGACAGCCTTAACCCCGTTTTTTTTGCGATGGCGACTCCGCCACAATATGATATCGCCGACCTGGCCCACGTATTCAGCGAATCGTTACGACCAACCGTCGAATCAGCAGCTGCTACATTCCAGCATGGACTACGTGTCGCCGAAGCTCGGCTTCGGTTTCCGCGATTTACTGCGACAACGCGCCACTTTCGATTACGTTCGACGACTGGCTCAGTACTTTGAATTGGAGACAGTTAGAACTGGGTCTCGATGCTACGTCGTTGCGCGTGTTTGGTTTATCGACGCTCGGAGGACACGCTGCTGAGTTTTCTCGCCGCCTCCTTCTTGAGAGGCCTGCGATGACTTGGGAACAAATTACAGAACAGCTGACTAAGCGCTTTCGTGATCCGCTGCGAGAAGTAGACGCGCAGAACGCGCTTAAGAATTTCCAGCAGAATAGTGGCGAACATATCCGCCCGTATGGCGATAGGTTATTGACTCTCGCATTGCGAGCGCTTCCGGTCGAGCAACTTTCGACGGCAGACACGCAACGCCGTCTCGTCGACATTTTTTTGGATGGACTCAGATCGGTTCATACACAGCGACTGTTGCTTCATCGCACCCCTGCGACGCTTACCGACGCCATCGACTTAGCAGCAGACGAACATGTACTAGAGTCATCTCTAGTCGCACGACGACAAAACGCAGCGACGCGTTCGCCGACCCTATGACACGACGGAGCCTATGGATATCAGTACCGTAACAACACCTACGCCATCGGAGCGTTGTTTAGAGAGGTACGCGGCTTGCGTAACGCTCATCACTCAAGCAGTGCCACGGCAGCAGCCCCTCCATGAATGAATCACCACGAGACATGACACGACAACCCCCGCGTCAACAACGTTCTCAGGTACCCCCACCCCGTGACGATCAGCTCAAGATCTCGCCAAAATAGCACCCCCNCCAACTAGGCCACTACTCGCGCGACTGCCCTCTTCGCCGCCGCGTAGAGGATTTTCAGCTACGCCCAAGCGACGCAATCGCACCACCATACCCTCACAACTTTTAGGCACGCATGAATCTGCTGCGTGCGCACCGCCGACTACAGGGACATCTTCAGCGCCAACGTGCCATATTAAAGTCGGCCCACTCTCACTCACAGCTCTCATCGACACTGGTAGCGATTGTTCGCTTATCGATTTTACTGCATGGCTCCATTTACCCCAGCACATACGGAGAGCTGCTAGTTTCAACGCCGTCTGTGCATCAGACGCCATGCTTCTTTCTGTCACAGGCGATAAACTACACCTTGTAGGCACCGCCACTTTACGCATTCTACTGGGACGGGTAACCGCCCTCCATAGGTGCTACATAGTTCGGGACTTAAGGCAACAGTTCATCATCGGAGCTGACTTTCTATCGGCTCACCGAGTAAACATCGACTTTAATAGAGGAGTGCTCGCACTCGGTAATAGTGTAGTCACATTGAAACTCCGTCGAGGCAGACGACTCCTCCCCACCCCTCAACTCGCTTTCATTCATCGTCCGATCGTGCTGCCCCCTCATTCGGGCCGACAATGTCTCTGTCGCGTCCCCCGCAGTTTCCGCCCGGGTACGCTACTCTTTGTTCAAGGATCTCCAGCCTTTAAATTGTTTCGTAGTAACCCCCATCTCATCTTATTGCCGTCTTTGGTCGAAGTCACAGACCAACACACAATTCTCTGCTGGCTAGAAAATCGCTCAGATCGAGCAATCTCGCTACATCGTAACGCTGTAGTAGCAATAGTCGAAGCCACCACCCCTCCCCACATACAAGTCATCACGTCCACGCCTAACGAGGACAATGCACCCGCACATGATGGTGCAACTCCGCCCTTCGATTATAATTCACTCGTCGATCACGTCCAGGATTCTCGCCATCGGTCAACGCTTCTGAAATTTTTACGCCAGCATGAGAGCTCATTTGCACATACAGACTCTCAACTCGGGTGTACGCACCTTTGCGAATTCCAAATTCACACTGGAGAGGCTCGGCCGTTCAAAACAAGGCCTTACCGCATGGCTCCAGAGCAACAAATCATCGTTCAGCAACAGGTTGACAAACTCATGCAGAATGGGATAATTCGCCCCTCCATGTCACCTTGGTCATCCGGCGTACTTTTGGTTAAGAAAAAAACTGGTGAGTATCGCATGTGTGTCGATTATCGACGATTGAACTCAGTCACCGAAGGAGACGCCTACCCTCTACCTCTCATCGAAGACGTACTACAAACAATAGGAAAAGCTACAATATTCACGACCCTCGACCTTAAGAGTGGTTACCATCAAATTCCCTTAGCGGAAAAGGACGTTCCAAAGACATGTTTTGTAACGCCCTCCGGAAGTTACGAATATTTAAGAACTCCATATGGACCAAAGAACGCACCCGCCCACTTTCAACGTATCCTCGATTACGTCCTGCAAGGACTCCGTCACAAATGCGCACTCGCCTACATCGACGACATCTGCATTTATTCACCGGACTTTGAAACTCACATGTCCGACTTAGCCGAGGTTTTTGCCAGATTCGACGCGGCTAACCTCAAGATGCGCCCCAGTAAATGTGCGTTTCTACGCCAATCCATTAATTACCTGGGTCACGTCATAACCCCAGGTTGCGTCAAACCCGACCCAGAGAAAATCTCTGCGGTACAAAATTGGGCCCCCCCAAACACACCCACAGCAGTTCGGCAGTTTTTAGGATTCACCAATTACTATCGTAAGTTTATCAAGGGCTATGCCGATATTGCCCATCCGTTGACTCTACTCACACACAAGAACACACCCTTTGTGTAGTCAGACGAGGCACAGACTGCGTTCCAGTCTCTTCGTAAGTGTCTCACAGAGGCTCCCATTTTGGCATTGCCTGATGGAAGTTCAGCAATGTGGTTAATACGTGTGATGAGTTCGTTAATGATTCGCCGCCAATTAACCGTTAAAATTGATCGGCAGCATGAGTGACGAGGAATGCGACAGATCGTTCAACGATGAATGCGCTGCTACGGTAGTAGCGCCTCATTAGCTCCTGGCATCCGGGTATCTTCCGGCCAATGAGGTGTAGAATGGTCGCGAAAAATGTGAGCAGTAACGGTTACCATGAATTTGTGCAGGGGTGTGGACCCCGTAACATGATAGCGACGCACCGACCCAACGCGACTGCAACTATCGCCCTGAGTGTCTGGGTGTCGGTTGCATGGATCGTAGAGAGAGGGCACAGGACTCGTTGTACGTTTTTCGACAACAATTCAAACTCCGCCCGACAACGCATAATTATAATGGTAGTGGTAAGCATCGGCGAACAGTACGGGCCAGAATAATCCGTCGCTGTTGAGAGTCTTGCTGTACGACGTTTCTTGAAACCCGCCGCCCCAAGTGGGGCCACTCATAAGATAAGCGTGATCGTGGAACAAGGGAAGCAACAGTGGCTAGCGAGAAATACGCAGGGATTAGCCAATTGTGGTGGCGGCTTCACATCCCTGCGCACTTGTGAGGCACATGAAAAGCAAGTTGTCCAACGCAAGGAGATAGCTGTTCAACTGGAAAGCTTTTGGGCCTGGACAGTACGGAATTTCGGTCAGGGTTCCGAGAGTCACGAAAGAGTGCGTATGAATGTTTCCAAACCTGCGTAAGAAAGCGGACGCATGACCAGCTCGCAAGACGCGGTACCACAGGCAGGCGAAGGACGCCTCGTGTCAGTAGCGTGGATCGGTCGGAAGGGGTTGCCGTGTCGGGCTGTAGTGTCGCGATCCGTCTACAGCGCGGGTCAGGCACAGGGGCGGTGAAGCCGGGGTCGTGCAAATGGAGCCTTAATGGGGCTTACCACGTCGTGTGGGTGCTGCAGGCCACACCGGCTAGGCGCAAGGCCGGTACCAGCTTGGTAAATGGGTCGGAGGCCATAACCGCTGTGGCGACGATGACGGTGATGGCATGATGAATGAGTAATGAGGTGGCGTCGGTGTAGACGGCTCGGACGGACAAACGAGAAAAGCGCATCCGCCTTGGGACGTTGCGACTCTACCGCCGTGGTGTACTCTAAGCCGATGCGCATGGCAAAGGCCGGGAGACGTACAGAGCCTACCGCTGAGTATGGGCAATTACGCAGTGCCTTTGGCTTCCAATAAATACTTGAGGCGTTTATGATCGCTCAAGTATTACAAAATCGGCACCGATGAGAAGGTGCCGAATTTCTGTAAGGCGCGTGTAACCAGCGCAAAAACATTCTCTCTCGATTGTAGGCCACGTGTTCCGTCTCAGTCAGCTGTCTGCTGAGATAGAACACTGGTGCTCCCTGTTCTGCGCCATCTATCTGCGTAAGAACTGCTCCGACCGGCGTCGCCGGATGCGTCGCAATATAGGCGGAACGGTCGAGCTTACATCAGGCAATGCCAAAATGGCGAGCCTCTGTGAGAGCACTTACGAAAGAGACTGGAACGCAGTCGTGTTGCTCGCTCTGACCTAACCCAAAGGGTGTGTTTCTTCTTGTGTGTGAGTAGAAGTCAACGGATGGGCAATATCGGCATAGCCCTATGAGTAAACTTACGTATAGTAATTGCGGCAGAATCCTAAAATTGCCGAACTGCTGTGGTGTGGTTTGGGGGGCCCAATTTTGTACCGCAGAGATTTTTCGCTCTGGGTCGCGGTTTCGACGCAACCGTGGGGTTATGACGTGACCACAGGTAATTTAATGGATTGGCGTAGAAACGCACATTTGCTGGGCGCCATCTTGAGGTTAGCCGCGTCAAATCCTGGCAAAAACCGCCTCGGCCTAAGTCGGAACATGTGAAAGTTTTCAACAGTCCGGTGAATAGCTGGCAGGACGTCGTCGATGTTAGGCGAGTGCGCATTCCTTGTGACGACACACATGTCGGGAAACAGGAATTAAAACCACACAACAAGGAGTCCAGCAGGACGTAAGATCCCGAGAGGATGTCGTTGCCAAAGGTAAGGCGGGTAGTGTTCGTATGGTCCGATAATGGGGTTACAATATAAATTCTGGTAAACTTCCGGAGGCGCTTACAAAAACAGTTCTTTGAACGTCCTTGGTTCTAGCAAAGAACTGGAATTTGATGTGTACACTTCTTAAGGGCAGCACCGTGAATATTGTAGCTTTTATATATAATTGTTGTCGTAGTAAGTTACGTCTTCGATGAGAGGAAATGAGAAAAGGTAGAAGTCCCGTATCTCGGTGACTGACGTTCCCAAACTCGTCGACTAATCGACGAACAAGATGTCGATACGTCCACCTATCTATTTTTTACCTTCAAGTACGCACACCAGTCCGAAATGAACCAAAGCGTGACAATGGAGTTTGGGCGAATTATGCCACCATTCTAGAGAATGAGTTTAGCCTCACTCGTGCTAGAAGGATGATTGTTGAAAATAACTGTGAGCCATGCGGTTAGAAAGCTAATGTTAAAAAAGAACGGCCCGAGGCCCTCTCCAGTGTCGAATTTTTGGAATTTCAGCAAGCGTGAAGTCACGCCTAACGTTGAGAATCTGTATGTGGCAAATGAGCTTTCATGCTGCCCCGTAAAAATTTCAGAACGTTGACCCGATGGCCCGAAGGATCCCTGGACGTGATCGACGAGCTGAATTATCAATCGAAAGGCGCGGGTTGCACCATCATGTGGCGGATTGTATTGTCCTCGATTTTAGGCGTGACTGATGACTTGTATGTGGGCGGAGGGTGGTGGCTTCAACTATTGCTACTACAGGCACAAAACGCGTTACGATGTAGTGCGATGCTTGATCTGGGCGATTTTCTAGCCACGGCAGAACGAATTGTGTGTTGGTCTGTGACTTCGACCAAAGACGGCAATAAAGATGAGATGGCGGGTTACTACGAAAACAATTTAAAGGCCTCGGAGATCGCTTGAACAAAGAGTAGCAGTACCCGGCGGAAATGGCGGGGAGACGCGACAGAAACATTGTCGCCCGAATCGAGGGGGCACCGAGCACGGTCGGACGCTGAAAAATGAAAAGCGAGTTGAGGGGGTGGGGAGGAGTCCGTCCCTGCCTCGACGGAGTTTCAAGTGACCAACACTATTGTGACCGAGTGGAGCACTCCTGCTATTGAAGTCGATGTTTACTCCGGCTGAGGCCCGATAAAGTCAGCTCCAATGATGAACTGTTGCCCTCTTAAATCCTGAACTATGTAGCACCTAATGGAGGGCGGTTCCGTCCCAGTAGAATGTCGTACAAGGTGGCGGGTGCATACAAGGTGTAGTTTTATCGCCTG